TAGTACAACAATAAAGTAGATAGTGGATTTATGGTGAAATGTGTTATTTTATTTTATTTTTACTTTAACACTGTCTGATTTCATTTTTTATTATTTTATTATTTTTTAAAACAGAATCCTGCTTTTATGATCGTCTTTTTTGAACATTTATTTTATTTTTACTTTAACACTGTCTGATTTCATTTTTTATTATTTTATTATTTTTTAAAACAGAATCCTGCTTTTATGATCGTCTTTTTTGAACATTTATTTTATTTTTCTATATTCTTATTTTTCTTTTGCACTTTCTCAGAATGTTTTGTAAAGCACTGATTTGTCTTGTTGCTGTAATGTTTTATATAAATCTGCCTTGCCTCAGGTCAGCAGCACAATAATTAATATACAGTGGAGTGATGATGAAATGTTCCAAATTATTTATAGACCATATTTTTAAGTAACTTCTCTTTAACGTATGATACTGTTAACACTATAATATTATTATTATTATAATATTATTGCTAATACAACTATTTGACCTGATGTGGGGTGGAACTGGTTTCTACTGGTTGTAGTCTCACTGATGGAGCCTGATGGTCTCAGACCTGCTCTGATACAAAGGTCTGGAGACAGGTCCTCAGTGGGTCCACAAACAGATTCAGGTCCATGTTGAATAAAAGTAAATTAAAAAGAACACAGTTATAATATCACACAGTCACAGCCAGCAGTCTCATTGATCAGACAGCAAACATTTTTCTACACATATTGGTCACTGAAATCTGAAGGAAGTAGTTTGGTAGTAGTTAAAAATACATTAACTTAGTTAAACACAGTTTAAATTTGGTTTATGGTGATTCTAATTAAAATCAATGTCCGTGTAGTTCTGACAAAGCTTTAAAAATGTAGCCAACAGGGTCTTAATAAACAAAACAAAATATAGTCAGAGAAAGCTTTTTAAACTCACAGTTAACACCAATTAGGTTTTTGTTCTTTTCAAGCCGTTCTAAATAAACTTCGACTGAACAGGAAACATGAGGCTGTTTTTTCTTTCCTACTCATATCATCATGCTAACGCTAACACCATGCTAACAACAACAATCAACAAAGCTCTACTTTCAGCATAGAAACTGTTTAAACACATCCTCTTACAAATACTGACAAGTACTATGTGTACCAAATGTGAAATAAATAATACAAACTACTATTAAAAGTAAAAAGAGTTTAACTTACAGTTGTTTAGGGGTTTGATGGTGGACTTTAGTCCCCCTCTGACCAGGTCAGAGCACTGCTGTTATGTGTTTTTGAACTTGCATTATTTTTTCCATTATGCAGTCGGTTTTATGAATGCATCAGTTTTCTTTTTTGGTTCATCATAAATCCACTATCTACTTTATTGTTGTACTACATGACATGAATGACAAACTGAAAAGTCTCCAAATGCTTTTCCCTTCAGCAAATTGTGTTTATAAAGAGTTCATCTGGTCCCAAATGAGGCAGTGGTCATGTCCCCCTATTGGTCTGGCTTAGTTACTGTTTGCAATCGATCTTTTCAGTGTTCCATGCATAATGTCTGTTAGTTTGACTGGTAAAAGAATTGTACTTGTAAATTTGATTCGTATTTGTAAATTTGATTCGTACTTGTAAATTTGGTTTGTACTTGTAATGTGGCAAAGTTGTAACAAATTTATGTACGTTTATAGACTTACATGTACAAATTTAGACTCGTTAATCATAAAATAATTCTGACAGTTATTTTACCCCATAGGGAACAAACTGAGACCACCACGGATGAGAGCTGTTTAGGCCGGCTGCAGGTTTTAAGCCCCGCCTCTCCTTGTATATAAATTAAACAAATAAATAGAAACACAGATTGTTTTATTTAGGTGATTCACATTGTTCTAACTTTGCTGCTGTATGATCAAATACGATATTTTTGTACTTAGTTTCAAAAGGTTATTTAAGAAAGGTGTGATTTTGCACAGTGATTGACGGGGTCACTGCCTGTTAGCAAATTTGGTAGGTGTGTAGGCGGGAAAAGTACACAGGTGTTAACTCCAAAAATACAAGATGGCAGCACTAACAAAAACATTTTGGTTTTACTTTTAAACAAGAGGAAGCGAGAATACTTTGATTATCTTTATTAACGTCCACAGTCAGACCAGAGAGCCCAGTCTAACATTTTTACATCTCCAAACCATGGTCGAGTCAGAGTCCAAACTGAGAAATGTTCACCTAAAATAGAAAATATTGTCATGGAAATCCATTTTAAGTTGTTTTTTTCTGCAAAATTGTATTTGAGACCAAAACACAAAAAAGAGAAAGAAAGAATGGTGAGTGTTGGATGACTGCTAAAATGTACTTGAAAAGCTAAACCTTTCTTGTTAAAGCTGAAAGGCTTAGACCACTGGCTAAAAGCTGAAAGTAGCAAAATGTTGACTAGGAGCTAAAAGTAGAAAAATGCGAACTAAAATAAGAAAAAAGTTAACTAAAAGCTAAAAAGCAAAAGTAGCAGAATGGTAGCTAAAAGCTAAATGTAAATGGTAAATGTTCTGAACTTATAGCTCCTCATCAAGTTCCAATGGACCCCAAAGTAGTTGTAGGGGTACAAGCTGCTCTTCTCATAACAGAACATAACAACTTATTGTGGACAATCAAATTTCTTATAAAGAGTTGAAATCAACAACAATTAACACACGTCCGAGTTAATTATCATTACTTTTACAACTTTATCAGGAACAACAAACTCCAGGCTGAAGGTCTTAAATAAACCATTGTTTTTGGCACTTTTTTAAGGTTTTGGCAGGGCATAAGTTGAGGTTAAGAAATAGAGGGAAAGGAGGGTGTTAGCCCTAACTTTTTATTTTATCAATATGTGAGGAGCCAGGATAGGCACATGGGTTTCCAGCTTGATTCCGCTGGACACTGGTACGGTTATCAAACAATCAGCCTCTACCTTTGAGACGACCTCACCGTCAGGTCAGCAAGAGCTCCGGTCAGGTTCAGCTTACTTCCCAGTAAGACTTCAAGTGGTTTGATGTCTGCCAGTTCGAACGGAGAGTCAAAGCCGATCGGGTCTTCTTTCAAAATAAAAGACGTCTCACCGAAGTTTTCAAACAAAACTCAGTGGAGTCTTTTGGTCACGATTAGTGGTATCGTGAACCAGTGAGAAAGATCTGCTCATTGGCATGTGAGCTTAGATCTCATCACCGAACGCTGGTTTTCCTGAGGAGGAAAACCAGCTCCTGTTCGAATGGAAGTAAGATGGTGACTAGTTGAGTTAGTATACTACAGGAGAGGTTACTAACGGACATGGCCTCGAGTTTAGTGGTTAGTACCAGGTGGAGAATTAAGTTTAGTCTAAGAAACTGCAGTCGTCTGGTGAACATCTGCACTTACATAGAAAAACAAGTTCAGGCTGTGCCGTTCTCAGTCTTTTGGCAGAATTAATTCTAAATGACAAGGAACTAGGTTTTAATAAAAAACTGAACTGAATTATTTAAACCAAAATAAAACAAGATATTTGTAAATAAATTAAAATACCATGAAAGCTGTGAAGGACAAGCAACAGGTCACAGCTCCTGTCCTGAACGAGCTCAATGTTTTCATGCTGAGTAAGTTAAGGCTAAAATAGCACAAAGTGTGCAAAAGTAGTTAGATTATAAATGTGTCTAGAAACAGAAGTACTTGTGTGAACGCTGGCTCTGTCTGCGCTCGGCACACAGATATTCATGCAGTAACACGGACGTCACTGGGTCAGGAACACAGGGCCAGAATAAGCAGCTAAAGTGTAAGGAGCTGATGTTCTGGTTTTTTACAGCTGCTGATCTAAGGAAGAGTTGTTTTATTGAAAACTGTAGCCTTTATGACTGATCTGGCTCTTTACCCACCTTACCTACTGAGGGTGGTCAGAGGGTCCAGTGGTGCCGGTGCATGGCAGCCTCGCTTCTGTCAGTGTGCCCCAGGGCAGCTGTGGCTACAGTGTAGCTTACCACCAGTGTGAATGTGTGAAGTATGAAGCACTCTGGAGTCCACATGGACTTGATCAAGTGCTCTACAAGTTCAGTCCATTTACCATTTTACCATTTACTGATGTCACGGCTGAAAGAGGTATTAGACAGAACTTCACTTCATAAATCACCAGACTGTCTCTTTAAGGTTTGTTGTTTACCAGATGAAGTGTTTCTTATCATAAAAGTCAAATCAAGGGATTTGTAAAGAACATTTAAGCTCCCATAGGAAGATTATGGATTAGAATCTTAAGAGTAAAACTAAGGTCTTTGTTGTTTCCAGTTCTGCTTTTTTTTTTTTTTACATGTTTTTTATTACTGGATATAAAACCGACTGCTGTTCAAGAAGTCTGATTTGTTTCTTTGGTTATTAAATAGTTTCTTTCTCCTGTTTTCGTGCAGTTCTGGTGCTGCTGTTTGTGATGTGGATGAAGAGGAGGGATAAGGAGCGTCAGGCCAAGCAGCTTCTTATTGACCCGGAGGACGACGTCAGAGACAACATCCTGAAATATGATGAGGAGGGAGGTGGAGAGGAGGACCAGGTACACACACACACACACACACACACACACACACACACACAC